TGTCAACTTTCGGTTTCTAGCTCATGAACTTCGAAGATGGCTTCTGCCCAGATCAGATTCATATACATAATCTCATCTTTCGAGAGAATCACTAAGAAAAACTCTTCTAAGAGTTTACCTTTTCTCCGGCTAAAATCCGTTGATTTTGAAACTGTGTGCTTGATTTCAAGTAAAGTTATTGCGCTCTGAATCAAACAAGACCGACTTTTGTTCAGATGTTATGGTGAAGCTCGCTGATTATGATGGTGTACCACGGTGAATGCACATTAGTTGTTCGACAATATGCCTAAGAGAAAGGTTATAACTTTGGGTTGGCAAAGGCCATGATCGAGAGTTGTTTATGTCTGACATCTACAAATGTCTGTCTGTCCAAGTTCTTTCCCACATAATTTGCTTCTACATCAAATCAAAGTAATGGAAACACAAAAAAAATACATTTATGATAAATGGGGCATTCCGAGAATTGAACTCGGGACCTCTCGCACCCTAAGCGAGAATCATACCACTAGACCAAATGCCCGATTTTGAACAAATTTATTTTACAAGATATAAGACTTATTCTTCTACAGTATTGGGTGAAATAGAAAGTTATGTGAATTTAATTTTAGTTTTTCTTATTTTCACACTTGATGACAGTGAATGAGGAACTAGACTAGAGTAGTAGAATTTTGATTAAGTTATAATATTTTAGACCACTAAATAAGATGAAATTAGGTATTAAGATATTTGATATAATCATATTTTTCACATCATTTTAAATTTCCATAGTATATTAGTTATCTATTTCCCATAAATTTAGTAAATTCAATTTACAAAAAAAATGTATTCACTCATTTCAAAATCATAAAATTTAATTTATCTTTCTTATGATAAAAGAATATAACTTTATCTTAATCAATATGTAAATCTTAACAAATCAAATTTCTATAGTTTTAAAGACAGTGATTTTGTTGTGTATTTAATCTATTTAATGCTACTACTAAAATTAATGCTAAAAAATTTCAATCTATATATATAGCTAAATACTAACTATAAATTCAATAACATCAACAAAAACTTATCACATATTTCCAAATTTTTTCTAAATATATTATTATATGTTTAATTATTATAAACATAATAGTTTTTTGTTACATTTTTCTATATTGTACGTATATGATATAATTATATGAAAATAAATCTTTTTATAAAAATTCAATTAAAATATTTTTAAAATAAGAAGATAACCCATTATTCTTTTTAGACACATTAGAATCAATAATTTCATAAAATACAAATATATTTTTAGTAAAGTAAAAACAAATGTAAAATTGAGGAAGTTTTATGATTTTATCAGGAAATAATATAGAGAAAGTAAACTTTATTCTATAATTACAAATTTGGATAAAATTAATATAAAGATAAGAAGTTAAGTAATTTCTTCTTTTTAAAATTTTTTGAACAGTTGTATACAGAAATTTATTTTTGGGAAAATGTTGTCTATATAAGTCTTGTATTTTATGATTTTATTGACAAATTGCATGTTATGTATCTAAAACTCTTTTCTTCTATTTTGTATTTAAAGTATTAGATTTCTGGAAAAAAAAAATTGAGGTGAGAAGATTGTTAAACATCTAGTGTTTCTTATTTGGAATTTGATTAGAGATGGGTTGGTGGTCACGAAGAAAAAATCCTGATAAGTAGAATGATTTAGCTCTTTACATTCATTTTCTGTATAAAACATTTGTATCTATGTAATTTGAATAATAATTTTGTATTAATATATTTTTTTATGATGCTACATTTTCTTTTTTTTGCTCTTGGGAAATTATCCAGTGAAACAAGTGTAGTGGCTGTCGAGTTGAAGATCGGGATGCATTGTGAGAAATGTGCAAAAAAATTCAGAAAAGTTGTTTTCAAATTGGATGGTAAACAAATAAAATATTATATATGCACACTATTTTTTATGGTGATACAGTTTTATGTTGCAATATTTTCCTTATAAATGGTATGTGATTATTAGGAGTTCAAGACTGTGTGACTGATATATATAACCAAAAAGTTATGGTCGGTGGTGAATTTAGTATGGAGAAACTATTGAAAGTTCTAAAGAAAAAAACTGGTAAAAAGGCGGAGATTTTGATCAAGACTGAAAAATATGATGATCAATCAGAAGCTGAAACAATTCCAGAGAATAATGAAGATTCTGAGACAGGCCAACAAGAAGAAGAAATAATAGAAAATAATGATAAACAAGAACCAAGGTGAATTACTTTTTGGTAGTTATAATTTTCCATTAACTATTAAAGTGGCAACAATTTTTCTACTACTTGTTTAAGATCACTACATATGTTTTAACTTTCTTTGATGTTTTTGGAGATTAATGGAAGTCGAGTACAATATACCATTTCCAGACAAGTATCAGGTGGATATCGCAAAAGTTATGTCCAAATTCAAAGGTATAATATATATTTCATCACATTTTAGTTATATAGATTTGATGATAATATTTGTCATTTATATTGTAAGTATTTATTGAGCATATGCATTAGATAGCCAAGTTGTATTGTTTTACTTGCAAAAAATGAGGGATAATATAACCATATAATAATTAGTTCAATGTTAGATGTGTTTTCTAGGATATAATATATATTTTCACATCTTTTGAAAACTTTCATATCGTTTTTATTTGATAACACACTCGTTGAAATGATAGCATGCTATTTTTTTTAAATAATATTATACGCCCAAATCAATTTGATAACTTTTACACATTCCAAAAAAAGACTATCCACCTGATTAACCATAATTTCTTTTGAATAATGTATGATTAGGAGTTGAAACATTTGTGCCAAATAGAGAAAATACCAAAGTTGTGGTCACTGGTAACTTTGACCAGAACAAATTGTTGAGGAAACTTAATAAGAAATTGCATAAG